ACTGATATTGAAGAAGCCACCTTTGAAAAAGACACATGATTTATGTTGCTGTGTCATTTTAATCTTTTAGCAATATGGGAAAGCAGTAAAAAGGCAAATGGAGGATGAGGATTTATAGTTAGATATATTGATTTTAGGTAAAGGGACGTTAAGATTGAGCAGTTGGATTTTAGGAGCATTCTGAAGATAAACCTGTGCAGGGACCTCTTGAATAGAATTACAGAGAAGAAAATTACATTTTATTTTTTATAGATTCTGTATGCAAGGGATGTGGACCAGAGAAGCACAACTTTTGAAAAGTCTCTACAGATGGGAAAAGAATTCCAGAGACGAGCAAAAGCCATGATCCTGCGGGCTGCTGTGCTGCGTAATCAGATTCACGTCAAGGTAACAGGGTCCCCAGGGTAAAGTTTGCTTGCTTCCAATCTGCTTGCATTTTGTACAATTTTCTCATGGGCCATCGGGGCTACTATCAATGTAAAAGTTTTGTTTCCATATGCCAGTTTTAATAAATGCATTGCATGATATTTAAGGTAATTAAGCGGTCTCATTTATCAAGAACTTAATTTAAGCTTGCTTCAGTCATTGAAAGAGATTCTTTTTGAAAAAAATTAACACTAAATTCAGTACCTTAAAAGGCTCCATGTAAAGGCTTAATGTGAAAGCCTTAGCAACGGATCATTTATGTATGCTTTGGACAGGAAATGAGAATGTGTTAAAACTGTTGTGAAACTTATTTTGCCTTTTAAGATTCTAGATTTACTAATTCACTACCATAATCTGTATTGCAATCATTCAGATTTTTATTTTTTTTCTTTCGCTTTCACAATTTTTGGTGGAATTGATTTTTCTTTTGCAGTCCCCTCCAAGAGAAGGTAGCCAAGGCGAACTCACACCTGCCAACAGCCAAACACGAATGAGCACCAACATGTGAAGATTTTAAACCGGATGCCTCTCTAAGGAAAAGTAAATGGGGTCTTCAAGGTATCCCCACCACTGACCCTATTAGAAATCATTTTCCCTGTTGGAGTAACAAAAATACAAAAAGACTTAAAGTGGGAAGACGAAGTGTGTTATATAGATTGAGGACAAAAAACAGAGCCTGTCGCTCAAATAAAAATGTGTTAGAAAAGAAAAAGGTTACAGCTCTCAAGCTGTATTGTCCCATTGTTCTTTGTAAGATGCACTTTCCTTTGTATCTTGTGACAAACACATTGAAAAACCTCATTTACTGAAGTGCACAGAACAAGATAATTGATTTTAAATTCCGTGTAAGTATACATGAACATTGGGGATCTTTGGCAGGATTTTCTTTTCCTTTTCATTCATCTTAAGGGTATGCTATGGATGGTATAGTAAGTCGCCAGTACTAGCCATCCCCATATTCAAGCTGTTTGTATAAGGAAATATTTAAGAAGCCTTCCAAATAAAGCGTCTCTGTTCCTTAGGCTAATATTTTTGTGTGTTTTATCTTCTATTAAGCACATGAAAAGCTGGTTTTACTGCATTGTCAATTCAGGGGAGTTTTTTTATGATGGGTTTCTTCATGAGTGTCTTTGTTTTGGTATTCATTTAGTTACATCATCAAGCATGTTGAAAAATCAATTACAGGGTCTTGTAGGTCACAGCAAATGGTCACAGCAAATAGTGCTGAACAAGTTATAGCTAAAAAGGCTGTAAAAATAGATTAGAAAGGTATTCAGGATGTAGTGTGACATAGTGATGGAGGACTCTGGAGAGGTACCATATTATTTTCGTTGATCTTTACACTTAAAATGGAATGCTATGCACTTTGCATTTAATTATTTTCAGAGTGCTAAAGGTATTATTTTTAAGAAGGACTTGAGAAAATTGAAACCCTTAGATTTTATTTTTGTTCATTACTATTTTTTTTAACTTTTTTCCTGAATGGTTTCTTTAATTTTTAATTTTGCTTTGACATTGTAACCCAAAATGTCTCAGACACACGCTTTAAAACTCGTAAGAGTTTTTCTCCTTTTCCGAAGCGAGCAAGGTTATTGTGCTGATCACATCTTCCAGAATAATCAAATCTCATGTTCGTGTCAAGCTTTACTGAAATCTGCCTGATCTTGAAAAGAGGTTCTTTATAATGGGTAAAAGGAAATCCAGTTGTTTTGGGTTACTACTGCACAGTCAGGATAGTCTGTTAAAAATTCAGTTGCATAACAGTCTAATCCATTTTAATCTTTACTACAAGATTCGTTATGGACTAGCCCAGTGTGAAAAAGTTGTAGATATAGCAACAGAGTTCCTGGCAGTAGAGTCAGAAGTATAAATTAAGATTTAACCTTTTCTCTTAAACAGTAAGGATTTTTTTTTACATTGTGATATTATTTTTGGAAAAGTAGCAAGTTAAAGGCTATATTAATTTGAACAAAGCAGTGAGTCTATAAAGTGTTTTTGTTCATTTCAAAACCTGATTTTTCTGATTTCAGAGATTTTCAAAGGCTTTTGGTTTGGGCTGTGAAAAAGAATATTTAACACAATATTTAACAGTTGTACATGGAATGCCATGCCCTTTGGGGTTCTCATATTTTTATATATGTATTTGTTTTCTTTACTTAACATATAATTGCACTCGTTGGTAGTCTTGATTTCTGAAGAAGAGTTCCAAGACAACAGTTCATTCCAACAAGCCTGTGTGTCCGTTGCTTTTAAAATTAGAATTTGATTTTCACTTGTGTCAAGTGAATTGAGGCCATCTGTTGATTAAAAGAAACCTTCTAAACAGCTATTCACTCCTGTCTCAATTTCTACATTATCTGTTCCTCCTAGTCTCAGTAAGTGTCTGAATTTAAGAACGGGGGACTTGCCTTTGTATGGTTTTGGGTATGTGTCCCCAACTTTTGTTTGTTGCATTTAGCTCCAGATATCTTCTGCTTTGAAGTTTACTTTGGCATGAGTTTATTGGGAGTTAATGTTTCTAATTCTACTTAAATTTGAGCACTCTACGAAAAGGTACTGTCAGTACCTTATTTTGGATACAAAATTATATATAAATATATTTTCAGTATATTTATATACCTTTACCAAAAAGGCAAACCAAAGCCATTTCTAATTTAAAAAGTACTATATCATTTTAAGTGTTTTTTTTCCCTTCAACAGTATAAAAAACCTATTTACAATCTGCATCAAAAAACATATACTATTTTATTGAGTTGAATATCTGTGATGTAGGCATTTACTGATGTTGTCTTGTGGGATTCTGTCAAATGTCTGTCATACTTCTTGGATATGTGTGTGCCTGTTCAGTTTTCTCTGAGCTTTAGATGGCACGGATTGTCCCAGATCATCTCTCAGACGTCTAGATGGTTGGGCATCCATGGCATGACGTTTGCGTTCTTCAGCTTGCATGAAAACGTTGTACGAGCAGCATGAGGACGTGTTGTCCTGCTAGAATGCTACTTTAATGTTAATTAATTCCACGGTAAGCGATCTTCCAGAGCTTAAGAAGTGTAGCCCCCTCTATGGTCAGCCTGCCATCAATCACTACAAGTGCATACCCTGTAGCAATTAGATACGCCTTCCCAGAGCAACACACTCGGACCTCTCCAGCAATAGGTTCGTTACAGTCGATCATTAGTGTATCATTTTGCACATCTGCTCCATGCTTGCCAACACCCAACAAGCAGCCTACACTAAATCTTGATTCAGTGCTAAAGAGGACTTGGCTCTACCGCTGGTGTGTCCAGCTAGTGTCATTATCTTTCTCTAGGGGTTCTAAACCTTTGCAGTCTTACTGTATATATTCCCTTTCTGGAACTAGCTCACCTGTTTGCAGATTAGAGTAAAATTAAGAAACACCAATGGTATGAATTTGTTGTTCTTTTGATAACTGGGGCAACCAGGGTTCTTTTATGATTTCCTCCAGGCTTCACGTTACCCAGATTAAATCACCTGAGCCCAATCAACTTTATTACTAATGAGCTGTCATTCATTAATGATCTATTAATCAAAATGATGCCAATTTACCATTTGTACAGTACCCAAAATCTGCCAGCACAAATATATTTGTTCACTATCGCACTCTGAAAATGGGCTAGAAAGGCAGATCATTTGCCGTTACTCTGCTGTGGCTCTGTCCGTGTGCCTCTGTGAAATTGTTTACTGAGACTTTACTGGCGACTTGGCAGGTCTTCCAACTCTAGAAACAGCAACCACTTAAAAAAGAGCAGTGTCATGTCGCCATCAATGGCAGAAGAATTGTAACGGTAAAACTGCACAGCATAGATTTAAACTGACAGCAATTAACACCCTGAAATAGAGTTCATTTTTTGAACATGAATGTTATCTTATAGTTGAAATTATTTCAACAGCTGATGGTCACTGGAGCCTGACTCCCTGTAATGGGATTATTAAATGAAAACTAAAGAATAAGCCAATACTCTCCACCTCAGATCATGTCATTTCTTTTTCCCCTGCTCACGATGTGTTGCTAGATTTCCACCCTAATGTGTAGAAAATGTCATACTTGTTTCAAGAGAAACACTGAAATCCGGTAGATGCTGGAATCTGGCTAGATTTGCAAATGAAACATTTAAAAGAAAATGTGCTTGATGGAGACCTGATTTTTATGCTGCTCTAATACACTTGATGTAAATACGTGGATGTATCAGCAGGTGATCAGAGACACAAACGAGTAATGGAGTATATTTGTTTGTTGTATGTAAGGCGGCACAGTTGTAGGTCATTTGGGAGGACTTGTTTTTGGACATATCATTTGAAATAACGCATACTGAGAAAACATTCCTTTTTTTAAAAGAAAGCAGGAAAATCCCCTTTGAATAGCTGTAGATGCAGCAGAGTACTGGCACAAAATCCAGGAGGTGTCCTGTCACAGGGTTGTTCATAGTAGTTCTTAACTTGTCTGCAATCTACTTTCATTGGGATATTTAGTGTCCTGTTCTCAAAATTATATACTAATGTAAAAACCCTCTTTTTTCCCCGAACATGGGTGACAATTGGCATTTTTGCTCATACCTGCTGGTGTCTTCACTAACATTAAGCAAGAGATGGTCATGTTGTTGTCAGGGTTTAGTTCATTTGACTGACTACAGAAACTTTTTGCTCTGCTGCTTCTCATTTCTCTAATATTCATGAGAATATGTTCCTATATTTTTTCTTGTTCTGAGACCCATACAATAATGAAGAAAAAGTGAATTTGTTGGGTTTTTTTCCTTAGTAACCAGTGTAAAAATGTAACTAGATTCTAATACAATTCACAAGGCCTTTTCTTATTCTCCTCACCCCAAAAGTAGTCTAGATTCAATTATCCCTTTATTAAAGTTGTGTGTATTTGCTTATCAATGTAGAATCCTAAAAGGGTGGAAAATGGCATTGGGAACACAGTGTTCTCTTAGTGGAATACAGCATTATCTCATAGCAACATTATTTTTGTTGAGAACATTTTCTACTGTGATAAACACATTTATTTTCATGATGAAAAACCTAATCATATGCAACTTTAAATTCATGTGTTTATAATGCTTATAGGTAATACTCACAGCTTTTGTTTCATTAGATGCAAGTGCATAATCCATTAATGTGAAATTGTTTAGCCTAAGAATAAATGTTTCCAATGAAGGCCATCTCTTAGTCACAGTGGGGGATAGCTTAAGAAATCATGAATTGAAAAGGCTGCCTTGAATGGCAAAACTGTTTTTTGTTTCTATTTTTCTTTGGATCAAAGTGAGTCTGTAATTGTACACTGAGCTTTGAAAGTTGAACAGTACTGATCAAATATATTTTTCCCCCTTACCCATCAATCTGAGTGCATCAACACTTAGAGGTTGTTAATGATATATCATTCTCTAGGGGGGGTTCTAAACTTTTTTCTGTCATGACTCTTTTTCTGGAAGTGACTTGCCTGATTTTAGGGTAGACAAATTTTAAAAGAAATACATAATTTAACAGGGGTGGTCCTGTGGTTAACATTGTTAGCACTGGGGCCCTGGGTTCAATTCCTGAGGTGTTATCCTAGTGGAGTTTGCATGTTCTCCCTGTGTTTGCATGGGTTTCCTCCAGGCACCCTGCTTTCCTCCCACTGTCCAATGTCATACAGGGAGGTTGGTTGACTTCTAGGAATTGGCCCTGGTGTGAGTGTCTGTGTCTGTTGGCCCTGTGATGTGTGTCCCATCCGGGGTGCACCATGCCAAAAGAGGCTCTGACTCCCCAGCAACCCCTAATTGGAAAAGGTTGTTAGAAAATGGATGTATGGATACATAGTTATATATAGTACAATAAAGGCAGAGAGCTAATCTCCATGTGTGTGTGCTGATTTTGCATACTCTCTGGGAAAGAAAAAATTAACTTTGCTTTTGGGAACCCCTCTGCTGTGAACCCACTCGGACTGTAGTACACATCTGTTTGAGAACTTCAATACCCAGCGGACTGCTATTTTGGTACAGCAGATCTGGCTCCTGGAGGGTGCCTCTGACAGCCAGCTGAATCAAGCCTCATGTGCCACTGCTGAGAAAGGTGGGTTTATAGCGCAGCGGTCCTGAAATGCAATCTTTCAGCAGGTGTGATTTTAGACAGCTATTTAATCTTAATGTGGTCATTAGACGTTGTTTAGGGCTCTAACTAATATTAAAACTGGTATTAGGTTTTATGATGACTCAATAGTGCACTAAGCTAAAAATGTAAGCAATTGAATATGAAATGAATGTGGAAAAAACAAGTAACTATAAAAAGTGACTCCAACTGATATATTTCAACAGCAATGCACAGTAGAACTAGAGTGTCTTTACTTCAGTAGCTTATTGGTTTTAAAGATACTATTTTAAATAGGATAGTTTCAAGTTGTGCCTTAGGATCACATTGAATTCAACTCAAGCCATTTTATTCCCTAGTTGCTCAGTGTTTGGTATTTGAATAGAGATGAAATGGCCAAAATTAAGGATCTTGGGATACGAATAATTAAGTAAAATGTTTTCAGACAGCAGTTGCTTCACAAGAAAATCAAGACAACAGAACCCCTACGTCAGGAGAATGATCGTGACCTGCAACTAACAGACAGCTAGGAGACAGAATCAGCTTCCTGTGGGCCGATAATATCTGAAGTGGTGGCAGAGAGACTGGAGTATTTTACTCACTGATGGTTTACCATTGATAGCTTTGATGGAAGGTATTGTGCGTGCAAAGGTGGCATGATGACCATTATGTTGTGTTTGTGGGAGGGAATCTGTTAATCCAACAATTCCTTTGGGGCAGACTGAGTGACGCCCACGCTTGACAATATACATCCATCCATTTTCTAACTGTTTTATCCAGTCTGTCTGGCAGGATCCTGTCCTGGCAAGCGATGGACACAAGGCTGGGAACACTCTGGAAGGGATGCTAATTCATCACAGGGCACACACACACACAGCAGGGCCAGTTTTCCAGTTAACCTACCAGTAGCCAATTAACCTACCAGTATGTTTTTGAACTGTGGGAGGAAACTGTACAAACTCCATGCAGAGAGCACCCCAGGAATGGAACAAAGGGAGCCACTGCTGTAAGATAAGATCACTTTATTGGCCATATACAATTTCTTTTATTAGGAATTTTTTCGCATACCCCAACTTGCTCTCCATGAGACACACAGACAGGGAGAGAAGCTTGGGGTCAGATCACAGGGTCAGCCATTTATACCGCACCCCTGAAGCAGTTGGGGTTAAGGGCCTTGCGCAACCATGCCACCATTGACAATATACCATACATAAAGTCCTTGAGCCCACAGTTTTTCT